TATAATTAACAATCTACTTATTTCTATTTAAAATTAATATTATGATACAATTTAAATTATTTATTATAAATTTAAAAGTTTAAATAATAATTTATATATTTTAAAATGAGAAGGGTTATAATAAACACTGGTGTAACTTTTACTAAGTATTTACACCGCCTCAATAACTTTATATTACATGTTGAATTTTGTAAATCTAACCGTTAGATTGAAAGTTCATATCACTTTATATGTTTATATCAAATTTTGTTAAAATTGAACAACAACTTGAAGGTAATCATAGTGTTCATATTTTAGTATATTTTGAAATGTATATATTACGTCAATTTTGTTTTACAAAAAAGAATTATCAAATCATCTTGAACTAATATAAAATTTTGTATATATCATCTAAGAGTAAAAAACTTTCAATATAACGGTTGAATTTATAAAATTCACATTTAATATAAAGTTATTGAGCGGTGTAATACTTAGTAAAAGTTACACCGGTGTTATTATAACCATTCTCTTTTAAAATATTATTTTTATAAATTAAATTTTAACATTTTAAATAAATTATTAATTAACTTAATATATTTATTCATCTTAAATCTAAGATATAAAATTTAAAAAATACATTTATCCTTGTTTTTATTCTCTAATTATCAACCATTAATAAAATACTAATTTATAAAATTTTATATAGTTATATCATAATATTTTCATATCAAATTTAAAACTAGATATTAATTATACAAAAATATCAAGATCATATAGTAAATTATCAATAAGATTCTAGTTAAATAATTTAAAATAATTAATTTTTCAACTATATTGTTTGCAAATAATTTATTTCAAAGCTAATCAATTTTTTCTATATTAATTACTAGTAAAATTTTAACTAAAAAATTCCTTTAAAATCCTAATCCAATACACATCCTAAGTGTTGTGTACACATTTAATAAAAAAAAAAAAAAGAGAAAAAGAAAAAATTTCAAGGTATCTATAAACAAAGACATTAAGCATTCCTAGTGATTCATAAGTAAGGATAAGGGGAAGGTGAGAATAGTTAGTAACAGGGAAAGATGCAAGGAGAAACAATAGTGTTGTACCCAGCCCCAGGAATAGGGCACATCATTTCCATGGTGGAGCTAGCAAAGCTCATCCACAAACACCATTTCTCCACCACCATCCTCCTCACCACCGGCTTCAGGGACCACCCCTCCATTGACGCCTACATCCGCCGCATCTCCGCCGCATATCCCACCATCTCCTTCCTCCGCCTCCCCCACGTCGCCGCACCAACCGCCGCCATCAGCGGCGCCGCCAAGTGCTTCAGCTTCATCAAAAGAAACGCCCCCAACGTAGCCACCACGCTCACCCAAATCTCGGAATCCGCCACCATCAAAGCCTTCGTAATCGATCTCTTCTGCACTTCCGCAATGGAACCAGCTTCTTCCCTGCAGATCCCCGTCTACTACTTCTTCACCTCCGGCGCCGCCGTTCTCGCGCTCTTCTTTTGCTTTCCAAGAATCCACGACGACACGAGCGCGTCGTTTAAGGATATGGTCGGGGTGGAACTGCGCGTGCCGGGTAACGCGCCGCTGAAGGCGGTGAACATGCCGGAACCCATGTTGGATAGAAACGACCCTGCGTATTGGGACATGCTGGAGTTCTGCACGCACCTTCCGAAGGCGCGTGGGATAATAGTTAACTCGTTTACGGAACTTGAGCCTGTGGCTGTGAAGGCCCTAGCCGAAGGCGCGTGCTTCCCACATCCAACACGTGCTCCTTCTGTTTACTGTATTGGACCCCTCATCGCGGAACCTCAACATTCAGGTTTGTTTCTTTTTCGTTAAATAATGTTACTTTTTAACTGAACTGCTATTTTCATTTTTGCACATTTTATAAGATGCTTCATTATTATTCTTTTTATTTTTTATTTTTTAAGTAATTCTTCGGTATTTTATATTTAAAAAATTTAAATATATTTTTGTTCTAAAAATTTGAAATAAATTTATATTTTAAATTTTTAAATTTTAAATTTTTTTTTATGATTTTTAAAAATTTTATTTTTATATTCAAATTTTATTAATAAATTTATATATAAAATTTATCAATTAATAAAATTATTATATTAAATTTAATTGATATTGTGTAAATATATTCATTTATCTTTAAAAAAATATAAACAAGTTTACCTACTTGAAATAATATTTAAGTGTATTTAAAAATACTCTCCAACTTTTCCATGTTGCCAAATCACGTCAATGGATCGTCAGTGGAACTAATTCAATATTTAAGTTATTTAAAAATGAAAAAAGTAATTTTTAATATGTCATGTCAGTATTAAGTAATTTAAGTATAAATTAATTTTAATAATAAAAAATTTTAAGAAATTTAATTTTTAAAGTTTTTTTCTAATTATTTATAAATCAAATTTAAATTATTATTAAAAAGGATAATTACACTATAATAAAAGAAAATAAATTATAAGAAAAATACACAATAAACAGATATTAAAAATAAAATAAAATAATAGTAAATACATAAATATTATACAAAATTAATTTTTATTATTATTATTTCTAAAACGTTTTCAAAATCTGGTAAGAAATGATTGTTTCAAGAAAAACTTTCTCTCTTTTTCAAGGGATTTATGTTACCACATCAGAGTTCTTTAATAACAAAAAATTAAGATTTAAATTGTTTCATGACACAAATAACTCTTATTAGAGTTGTATTCATAATCTCTAACTGGAGACATGATTTATCTCTACTGTATCTTTGCACTTACAATTCAATTTATAAATTAGCATTGCTACAGCCTCCGAAAGCCAAAAATGCTCAAAATGATTAAAAAATTATTATCTTTAAATAAATTTATTATAAAATAATTATTTTATAATAAATTTATTAAAAAATAATAATTTTTTAATTATTCGGACAATTTTTTGGCCTCCATATTCAAAAGATACAGCATTTTCCTTTATAAATTAACCAAACTTGTTTCATATATTAAATATATTTAATATCAACACAAAAAAGACTAAAACATCATATGATTTGACATTTGAGTCAAACATGAAACGGTGAACCACACATTTTGCAAGAAAAAACTACGACACATTTTCGAAGGCTTTGTCTTATAAATTTAAAAAATAATTTTAAAAAAACAATATATACTTTTATTTTTTTTTTAATTTTCAATTATAAATTTCATTTTATTTAATTCTATTAATTTAAAAATCAACTATAAACCAAAAATCACATATAAATCTTAATTTTATCTACCAATCACATATTTTTTTATTAGTTAAATTCTGATTAATATGTTAATTTAATTTTCATTTAGTGAGTCTCATTTTCAAATCAGTAAAATCCACACAAATTCCAATATTGGATCGAATGGAAAAGAATATGATTGCAAAACTTTAGTTGAATTTTTTGCTTGATTCATATAAAATAGATGTAAGAACGGATAGTAAACAATGTTTGTCATGGCTGGATGAACAACCACATAGAAGTGTGGTGTACTTGTGTTTCGGAAGCCGCGGATCGTTCTCAGTGTCCCAGTTGAGAGAAATAGCGAAGGGGTTAGAGAAGAGTGGTCACAGATTCTTATGGGTTGTGAAAAGGCCAACACAAGACTCGGGAACAAAGCAGGTACATGACACAACATCGGAATTCGACTTGGCTTCGGTGTTGCCAAGTGGGTTCATCGAGAGAACCAAGGGTCGAGGCCTAGTGTTGAGGTCGTGGGCCCCACAAGTGGAGGTGTTGAGTCATGACTCGGTGGGTGGGTTCGTGACTCACTGTGGGTGGAACTCGGTGTTGGAAGGAGTGATTGCGGGAGTGCCAATGATTGCATGGCCACTGTACGCGGAACAGCACGTGAATAGGCACGTGATGCTGGAACAGACAAAGGTGGCTATTGCAATGGAACAAAATGAAGATGGGTTTGTGAGTGGGGAAGAAGTGGAGAAAAGGGTGAGGGAGTTAATGGAGTCACAAGAGATTAGGGAAACAAGTTTGAAGTTGAAACACTTGGCTTTGGCTGCCGTTGGAGAATTTGGATCATCCACAAAAGCACTTGCCAACTTGGTTCAACCATGGAGTGGATTTAGTGCTTAACATGATTGTTAACTGTGATTGTTAATTAATAATGTTGTACAACAGGTCATTGTTTTCACATGAATGTTAGTTTTTGAGTATGTTTGGAGCTACCATAGAGGCGATAATACTCTATATAACATTTGAATCATTTGATAATATATTTTTATTATGTATATTAAATTTAACATAATTGGTGTGTTATTTAACAATTAATTACATTTTAAATAACATAATTAAACTCAAGTACAGGTTGTACAGTATAGTGTCAAAAAATTTGTAATCTACATGCTCTAATAATTAAGTTTAATTTCCGCATTCATTTTGGCTACTTGATTGTTTAAATGTTAAAAGATGAGGATATTAATAAATTACTCTTAACATCTGTTAAAATTTTTGAGAAATGTGAAATTTTTAGACATATTAAAATAATATAAGGTAAAGTAAAAGATCCAAGTGAAAACTTGAAAGAAAGAGATGGTCCTGAATGAAGGTTGTTACATGCATTTAGTTTGTAGGTTGGTGAATTTTAGGGTGTGGGTTTAGGAAGTTTAGATACAGAGGGGAACCAATTATTATGAATAAGTGAGTGAGGTTCAAATCATAACATTGTTATTGTTTTGGAAGAATTGGATCACACATCCATTTGGGACAGTGGATTCACATTCATATTTAAATGATTCCATCAGCTCCACTTTTAGTTTGTTCTAGTTTTTTTGTTCTCACCTAAATTGCTTGTACTTCTACAATAATTTGTTCTTTTTTAGGGGTGCGGGTGTGAGGTTTTAATGACATGATTACGAATTATATTCATTAATAGTAAACCAATCTCATCAAATTGACAGATCGAGAGTCTTTTAAGTTTTGGTAGAGTTTGATTTTGAAAAAAGAATGCTAAAAGAATCACTTGAAGTGTAAAAATATGTATGTTTTGCGAGTCTTGTACATAATATGGTTTCTCTATATTGAAAAAGTTAAAAAAAAAAAAAGCAAATAAATTGGCTCCTGTTCAACTAGATTAAATGTCGGCAATTTATAAGGATTATGGTTGCAAACTAATTGTTAGATTCTTTAATCGTGTGAAAAGTAGTGAAAAAAATAATGTCTAATAAGATATAATAAAATTAAATTAAAACCTAATTAAAAAGTTGCCTAACTTTCCATGTAGACAAGTTGCTCAAAATCTCTCATTGTAGCAATAGATTATCCATGTGTCTAATTAACATAAAAAAATAAAATAACTATCCACACACACACACACACA